GCAGATTCAAAATTATTCGAGTCAGATGATTCTTCATGAATTGAATCGATTGGATTCACTTGGTGTAAACGCAGCCTGGTGTGCATTGATTACGTAACGTTTACCCCATATTTTTGCCTTGCCGGCTTTATATAGTATAATTATCATTGTTTTTACTATTGTTTCTTATTTTTGAATTTTCATCATATCATAATTATTCTTGTAATCATTTTATTGTGGTCTTTCCTTTATTATGTTTTTGAATTGTCCTAATAAATAGAGATTTTAAAGTAAGAGTTCTTAAACTATTATCATACTGTTGAATCTCCAGTTACTCCTTTATCACCAACAGTTTAGTTCAATCTGTTTTTGATTAGTTTTATGCATGGATTTATTATCATTTTATCAGAGAACCTCATTTTATTTATATGGACCATTAGATTGTGTATTTGAATGAATGACAGAGAGAGAGAGAGAGAGAGAGAGAGAGAGAGAGGAGAGGAGAGAGAGAGAGAAGAGAGAGAGAGAGAGAAGAGAGAGAGAGAGAGAGAGAGAGAGAGGAGAGAGAGAGAGAAATATATTTCTTTGCCTTTTTTAAAGATCTTATATGTATACCATAAATAGGGTTTTCCAGTATATCTTTATATCTTTTACAACTGTTACAACAGATGTGATTTTTCTTCAACACTTCCTTACTCGATAAGATTAAGAATGGAGAATAAAAAAGGATTTTTGTACACTCTTTTGTGTTTTAATCAACAATCAATATATTACAGAGAACCATATTAATAAGGTTAAGTAAACTCTGGAACACACAGAGGTGCATTTATTCTATTGCTGTTCAAATATTCAAATAAAAACAGTTCTGAACCAGTAGTGTAATACTTACATTAAACAAATATTAACACGTCTTCATATTCCCGCTATTTGCCACTGAAAACACCCACAGTTGACTGTTGTATTATGATATCAACGTTTCTTGTACGGGGCTTGTGCATACGGGACTTTGACTTCCCTTCTGGCAAAAGGTAAAACGTTAATTTTTTGCTTGATTTTATTTTCGAAGCCAATAAAGCGAGAGAGGTTAACATGTCTAGCTTGGATTTTAGCCGTTCTGATTAAGAGCAAGTGTAAAGTTCCCGCCTTTTTGCCATCAACCAAATTGCTCAGCTACAGAATTGGGCATTAATTCTGAATTTTCAAATCCATTTTAATCTATTGTTAAAACAACTATTGCTCAAGTACCTTAAAGTTCTCGAATTGCTAATTACTGTTTTATGGAGTTACTTAATACCCTGAAGTTTTCATAGATATTTTTACTTCTAAGCTACTTTTAAGATGGCGGTTTGGATTCTACTTTCCTGCTCATCACAAGAACGAAAATGGGAAGTCGAAGGCCTGTTACGTACGTCACTATGTAATATTTTGATTATTTGTCGCACGTCAGCAGGGAATAGGCTATGAAAGTGTTGTATTGCATCTTCATACTTTTGACACAGCGGGAGGGCTCATGATATGTGTTTGGGTGTAGAGGTCCGTGTTGTGTGGTGTGTGGAGTGTGTTGTTGTGTCTGCTACTTCTGTTTTGAGGTGTGGGCGTGGCTTCTCGTGGGGGTAACCAGAGATCGGTAAGCAACAACAGCTGATAAGAAGGGCCAACTGCGTAGTCTTCGGAAAATACTCAACAAAACTGACATTTGAAGCCCCCGCTCTCACAAAGATAATGGGCGAAAGGTTTTGGCGGCAGGCAGGCCGAGTCACGACACAAAACCTTCCGGAATTGTGTATGGCTTAACTGCCTCTTTTCCTCCTGGTTGCATCTCTTACGCAGTGCAGTTGCGACCCTTCTTACCAGCGCTGCGGAGGACTGAGGCCACTGACCGGCGCATGCATGACAGGGAACTACAGCCCCTCGACTGATCTGCCGTCCTCCCATGCAAGGAGAGCGACTTGTCAGCTGCTGGACTCTAGATCCTTTAAGTCTCGTCGGGTCAGCGGGAAGTCTGCACCTCCGACCTCTGCCACTGGATGGTAACTTGTAGGATGAAGAAACAGTGCATCGGGTCCCGGTCATGAAGGTCGCTATGGATTATTCTACCTATCTATTTTCTTCTGCACTAATGAAACCGTCACCTCTCATGATTAAAAAAGTTTCTTCTCATAGTAGTAGCCTGCTACAAAACACTTCTACAATAGTTCAGGAAATATCCCACATTCACAAGAAGTAATAACTTCGCATTTGTTTAGTTTCATTCATTTAAAACAACAATACAAAGATACAGATCAAAGCCAATATAAATCTATCAATATATTAACACAAAGAGACCAACTTCGCGACCGGGATCTCCAGCACAATTCCTCTATGTATAACATTTATCACATGTACATGTACAGCAGCGTAGAAAAATCTGAAATTCACGTTCCATTTAGATTCTCTGCATAAATCACTACAGCCAGTTTGCATAACAAGCAATCCTGAAAACCTTTTTTAACTTCTGTTTTTTGCCTTATTGCTTCTGCAACAAAATAAGACTTAGTAAGGCGTGTTTGCAGAGCAGAGCCACCGTTTGCTGTGGGGCTCAACAAAGATTGAACAGGACCTAACTGGTAACAGATCAGAGATAAGAAACGTCAACAGTGGATTACCTCTCTGATTCAGAACAAAGAAGTATGAAAGAAGACGAAGGTGGCGCTGCAAGTCCCTTCTGCCCGCTCCGAGCAGGATTTATTCCCTTCTTGCAACAAGAAGGAAGACCTGGAGGCTATATGCGGATGGGAGGGACTTGCCAGGACCAAACCTCGCCTAAGTCATGATATATGGAAATCCAACGGTGCATAAACCCCAAATATTTCCCCTTTACTGATAGGAAAACCCCAGGACGGCGCATACGACCTGCTCTCAGGCACCATGTGTCTCTTTGTGGCTTGGAATCGTTTCCCCCTCTCGCCTGTGGTCGGTCGAACCCTCCCTGTGAGCAGACAAGCTAAGTGTCTCTTGAATCTTTCATGTTTATAATGGGACAGCAGGCCTTTCCAGGCACTGGGTGCTGAGAGGAGGCTGTAGCGCCAATGTTATGCATTATCAATTCGGCCAGAGCAGAAGGCAGGGAAAACACAAGTGGACACAAAATATACAAAAAGTATTTGATAATGATAGGAAGAAATACAAGAATGAATAGTATACAGTGATTTCATAAACATTTCAGAAAGCAGCACGATTATCATGCAGTAGATGACACCTGGTCTATATTACATATCACATTTCATTATGTATCTAGTGGGGATGTCTTCTTTATTTCCCAGTATGGTTCAATCATGCCATGATACTGCATGACCAGCAGTTCCCCAGGGAGGCGGAGTCAGGGTAGAGCTGGTGAGAAGGGGAATAATCAATACATAAGGTGTTCGCACTCCAGATAATAGTGTTGCAAAAGTGGGTTCTGGGACAACGAGGAACCCACCCCCTGACCCCACCTACCACAGAGCCTGGCAGGAGTGGGGCAGTCCGCTCAGTGTGATGCCACTTGTGATTGTTGTTGATGTTGTTGTAGTAGTCGTTATGGTTGAAGACGCAAGGGTTGTTGGTGACTTCTCGTTTCAACTTGCAACTACTTGGTCATCTCGTGTTGTTGAATTTTTCTGTTTCCATTTTCCTTTCTGTCTCGGTTTGGTGAGCATATTCACAATGAACTAAACTGAACACTAATATCTCTTTTCTATGATGATTTCACATACGCTTTTATCTACTTTTCAAACACTTCATTATATATTTTTATGGCCTTTCAGAGCACACTTGTATTCTACACTTGTGGACATCTGACATACCCCAACACCCTCTCACTGGTCAGTGGTACATTTCGAAAAAGATAAAAAGCCATGATTGAAGAGATGAAAACTTATTAAGCTCTTGGCATTTGTAAGGCAATGACAGCACATAGGCCACCAGAGGGCAGCGCTGGGAGAGTCCTGGAGGAGGGGGCCCCGGCTCGCGTGCGCATCACGTCTAGCAGCGGCAGCAGCAACCGTGGCAGGCAGAGCGAGGCCTTACCCACCACGGCTGCGCAACTGTCAACGTTTATGTAGAGATACTTAAGTGCAGCACACCTTTCTTATGATGAGGACTCGAGAGAATATGCATGAGTAGACATGAACGACACTCTGGTGAATATTAACACTCAAGCATTGACCAGTGAACTTTCACTGATTATAATAAGGGCCACAATGGGCCATAAGTTCTCAAGGTTTCCATATGTAGGAACAAGGAATATTTATAAACAAGGATTATACAGCTTCGCACACTGTGGATCAAAACAGGATTATGTAAACATCAGAAAATGTGGAATGGCATACCATACAAACTAGGATATGATCACAGGGGTCGCCGTGGCTCAGCAGAATGGGGGAAAATCCAAACCCCGATTGTGGTGGGCCACCAGTGGACACGGACACCACAACACATCCTGGGTGGCCACATTCTGGTGGGCCACAGTGGACCTGGCCGTGGGTGCACATGTTTAAATGTATTCCCGGATTTCCATTGGACATGGTCACAGCGAGATTGTGAATTAACATGTGCTGATAACATGAATAATGAAGAGCAAGAAGTGGACCTGCGTTCCACCAAAAGACGTGGCCACCACAAGATTTCAGTAACTTTGATGTTGGGATGACCTCGCTCACGTGAGAACTCTCCATTGGAGGTGTAGCTCGAGTGCAACAAGCTAGAAGCCTACAGTGTCCTCTCTAGCTGTGCTAATGCTGCAACCCCGCTACTAAGGTGGTGGTGGTGCCGGCCACACGTGACATCATAGAGTCACGTGACCACGCAAGGCCCTGGACCTAAGAGGGCCGAGCAACACGGCGCTTCACGGACATAGCGCCAACAATTTTGATTTGCAAAATGCATTTTTCTCTTTACAACATTTTGACAGCTTTTTTTCAACTTGCTAGACGAGAACTTTGTTCACAATGATGCATCAGTCAGAAAACTTTATCAACTTTACATAACTAAGTAAAAAACTATAACACTCAATATTTTATTCAAACTCTTCTCTAAACAAGTCGCATGTAAACACATGTCTGGACCTAAGTCTTGCTGAACAACTATCCCTGGCTAGACGGTGCTTGTGAAAACGTGGTTGTCCTCTGTGCCAGAAGTTTTTGATACTCTGGTTATACATGAAATTATGAGTGCTTAGAAGAGGAAATTATCATCTATAACTTCTTATTCCATAATACTTAAAAACAAAATTTTACATTATGAAAACACAATGAAGAGCATAAGACAGCAAGAGAAAAGGTGACAGAAGTAATAACACCACTTTTGCTATCTAAAAAGTTTTGCACAGAGTACAGAAAGATAATACATCATCAACAAGATCTGCTAAAAAAATTAGCATTCTATTGTAGCATCCTCACTCTCAGACTAACCCACACGTCCCTGCCACCCAGCTCGTTCCTCAGCAGACACTCACTTGCGTTGAGATCCTTGAGTTACCAGGTGTGTGGCAGGCGTCCGGGAAAGTCTGAAGGACCCTGAATACATGAGCACTTGCTGCAGGTGAGACTTGACAGGATCGGCTTTAAAAAGCCGGTGTGTCTGTGAGCCGGGCATGTGCAGGCTGACAACGGAACACTAAACTCGGGTCTGACAATGGAGCTACGCCCTACCACCTGGGGCACTAGCGAGTGAGTCAAGGTAGCAACTTGCATAGCTGGAACATTCTATTTCAACTGTGAATTTTTCCCTATCTCAAAAGTCCGCGATCCCACACAAAAGTCAAGAATAATACACAAAAAATACTCATTCAGGACATCGATATACATATAATTCAAAGATGCCAAAGACTGAAGATAAAATGAGGTGTTTTTGTTAGTTCATTCCTGCAACCAAAAGAAGTATACACAGAACAGCTCGAACATATATGAACTTAGGGTGACAAAGCACACATGGGGCCACCTGCTCATGATGCGAGGTGTCTGTCTGGCACCTCTTCTTGTGCTGGGACCTTACGGAACACAACAGACCAAAAACCCACAAGAAGTTATACGGGGAGGATGTGGGGTGGCTACAATGGGGCGTGGATAGTACTGGGGGAGGGAGTGAGGGGAAGGAAGCAGAGGAAGTGAGAAGGAAGGTAGTAGAGAGGAAGAGCAGGAGATCTGGGGAGGGAAATACTGTACTGGGGAGGACGGCTGAGGCACAGCACGTGGCCGCTACCATCCGCTGCTGCACTCACGGGCGGGCACAGTTGGCGGGCGGTGGGTGGCAGCGTGTGATGAGCGGGTGGTGTGTGGTGTGTTGGTGTGGTGTGGGTGCAGCGCTGGACTCTTTCAGATGTAGGAGTAGGGTCCGTCAGTGAGGGCGCTACAGAGGAGGAGTCAGGAGTTGTCATCCTTGGCCATGTCTCCCCGGTTAGGCTTGTACTCCAGGCCTGGGTCGAACTGCATCAGAACGAAGACCTGGTCGGTGGGCAGCAACTTGAAGTCATCTGGTGGGTTGGTTATCACATACCGCTTGGACGACGCGTCACACGAGCTTGAGGTGTCGCGGAATCTGCAGTCCAAACCAACGCCAGATTGAGGACTCATACGGAGTGTTCTGTAAATCAATTTCATATCTCACGAGCATAACGAAAATAATATTTCAAAAAAGACAAGAGTTTCCCGATCCTCGTAAAATAATTTACAAGCTTGCCCAACGGCCATGCTACTGTACAAGAAGTGCAGAAATGATCCATAAGCCGTGATTTAAAGCAGGTTTACATACTTTACAAAGCCTACTTACGTAGTTTTGAATAAATTATGATAGGTATTTAACAAGCCAGGTGCATACACACTCTTTTGAGATACATTACAATTGCTTACTTTAACAAACCAGGTACTGGTGATGCAGAAGGCGCTCTTATTTTTTACTTAAGAGGTCCGCTCTTATATTTATGAAATACAATAGAAGGGTGAACAAGTGCATTAAAGCTGATCATAATACAAGAGGGGGGGGAGAGGGGGGTTGGGAAGGTACTTTGTGTCAAAGGGCTGTAGTAGTGTAGCCATGGGTCACGTGGGCTGTGTACCATCGCCTACAGGCGACTTGTACCCCCCGGGCCAAGGCCGGCCCAGGGAGTAAAAGTCCTACACAGGGTGTTGGTACAGAGGCTCAGGCTTTGGCTCCATTACTCGTCACACTTGAGGAAAGAGTGGCAATCACTTGACGGCTTGGAGCCTCAGACATACACGAGGATCTGTGGACACAAAGTCTGTGAGGTGCAGACGGAGGTGCAGGTGCTGCCCTACTCACCTGTAGAGACCAATACATAGCATGCCATAGTTCCTCAGGGCCGCGCAGAAGAGGTCTCCGTAAATCCCGCTTTCCCCGAACTGGCCAAGAGGACCGTCGTAGAGGGAGATCTGCCCCACCTGACAGCGGTCGCGGTTGGCAAGTGTCTCGGGCGTGCTGGCGGGAGAACACGTTCACCAGAATTCCTCTCCGATAAAGAAACTCATTAAGATCATTAGCTTGTTCTTTACGATATAGAGGACTGACGATGAATCAAATTAATCTTGATAGAGGAAATAAATAAATATCAAGAGTAAAGACACAATTATCCCTACATCGTATGATATTGATTTTTATCTCTCTCTTTCTCTCTCTCTCTCTCTCTCTCTCACACACACACACACACACACACACACCACACACACACACACACACACACACACACACACACACACACACACACACACACACACACACATAAACACACACACACACACCACACACGCACGCACGCACGCACGCACCACACACACACACACACACACACACACACACACACACACACACACACACACACACACACACATCAGTCACTCTCTCTCTCTCTCCTCGCAAGACTCACTGAACTGAACCACATTCTCACCTGTATCCTCCCCGCAGTCCCGCACCCTCTGCCAGGATCAGCTCTAGTTCTGGCGTTGCTCCTCCAGTGATGAGTGAGCGAATGAGCGTAAGAGCGTTCTGGTTGAAATAGGTCTGCAAAGAGATGGACGCCTTATCAGAAATGACTAAACCACAAATTGTTAAACCTAATATTTCCAGCATTGGGCATCTTTTTCATGAAGATATAACATAGCAAAAATTCCTTTGATTTTTGAGTCATTTTAATCGTGAATTTTAAAAGCTCTTCATAAAAAAACACTGATTCCATGTCTCTTACCGTAGACATGAGGGAGTCCAAGACAGACACAGCAAAGGCTGTACCGCAGGCGAACGGCTGCGTCAGATAGAGCTCGGTG